GAGCAGCTATCGTCGGATCATCAGGATGGAATGAGAGGTAGAGTTGAGTGTCATCAGCATAGCAGTGATATGAAAAGCCATGTTTCTGAATGACAGAACCTAGTGATGCCATGTAGACAGAGAAGAGAAGTGGTCCAAGAACTGAGCCCTGAGGCACCCCAGTAGCTAGATGTTGCGACTTGAACACCTCACCTCTCCAAGATACTTTGAAGGACCTATCTGAGAGGTAAGACTCAAACCACTGGCGTGCGGTTCCTGAGATGCCATTTTCCAATAGGGTTGACAGGAGAATCAGGTGGTTCACCGTATCAAAAGCAGCAGACAGATCCAGCAAAATAAATATAGAAGATTTGGAGGCCGCTCTTGCCAGTCTTAGGGCTTCAACAACTGAAAGCAAGGCAGTCTCGGTCGAATGTCCACTTCTGAAGCCAGATTGGTTGATGTCCAGGAGGTTGTTCTTTGTGAGAAAGGCTGAGACTTGGTTGAACACAACTCATTCAAGTGTTTTTGCAATGAAAGGTAGAAGGGAAACCGGTCTGTAGTTCTCTAAAAGAGTTGGGTTAAGAGTGGGTTTCTTAAGAAGTGAGGTTATACGAGCCTGTTTAAATGTTGATGGAAAAACAACAGTGTGAAGGGATGTGATAACGATGTGAGTGAGTGATCTAATATGCTGTCACACATCCAATTTGCTCTGAACTGTTTACGCTCATGTATGACATAACAGACTGTGCTTAATACTCCACACAATGTGAATTTTGACATAACTGTGTGTGTATTTGAGCATTTAAGTGCAATAAGCTGTAAAAGAGAACTGAATTGAAGATTGCATGTAACTTGAGAGCTGGTGTTCTGACGATTTGTGCTACCCTGTCAGATTTTGCTACCTCCCATTGAAACAGTAGGTAGCATAATGCGACAACAAAAAATGCTACCCATCAGATTATGCTTTATTAACACGTACACCTACCACAACCCTAAGCCTACCCTTACAGTAATGCAAATACAGTAATTATATGTTGTTCAGGGTGAGAAAATTGACACAATATTGATGTGTGCATGCACAGTAAGCCCTGGTAGGACAATCTGACGGGTAAGATGAAATGTCAGGACACCTGGCATTTGGGCTAACGCTTCGGCTGCGTGTCCATCAGCGCGAGCACTGCATTGAGTCCTTTTTCACGGCTTACTGTGATTAATAACACTCTAACATGTCAATATCCTTACGCAGTACAGTGCGGTTAAAAAAATAAATGTAACACTTTAGAAAATGTATTATTTTAATTGTGAACTGATGCAAATCACCAGAAGATAGAATCATGATTCATATGTAAATCAATTGTTCCCCCACGCCTAGTGTGCATGCAGAATATTTCAGGTTTTGCACTTCTCTTTTTTTCAACATGCACCTAGACAAACCTCAAGTGTTTGACCTCATAAGAAAGCACACCCCTGTGACACCTAAAGCAGGCAAACAGCTAGACCTCCTCACATGTAACTGGGCAACCATTTTGTTACTCCATTACATCTCTCCAACCACTGTTTCTCCATTTCTCTCTGTCACTCTCCCTTCATGCTAACCACTGACACTCTCCTCTGGTCATCTTTTGCCGTAACCTCCACATTCTCTCTCCCTGACATACTTCTCCTCTGTAGTCTCTGCATCCCGTTCCCTCACTAACCACTTTTCTTCTCTTGATGTCACTGAAGCAACTGATATACTGTGTTCATAATATCTGCCCTCTTACCTCCAGGCCAGAACATGCGATACCCTCCAGCACCTGATCCCTTCTACAGGAGATCTCACTAACATTGCTACCTGCTCAGACTTACAGTATATCATCAACACGTCTCTCCCTACTGGCATCTTTCCCAATGCATTTAAGAAGGATTGGGTAACCACACTGCCTAAAAGAGACTTGAAAGAGTTGTGTTCAATCAGCTTTCCACTTTTCTCTCATTGAACAAGCTACTTAAAAGCAACCATTTTTGCTTCAAAAGCGGGCATGCTATGGAGATCCCACCCTGCTGTCTGTTGCTGAAACTCTTCAACTGACAAGAGAAGAGTACTAGGGTACTATCATGGGTACTAGGGTTTTCATGATTACTCGATTATAAAAAAAATAAATCCTAGATTGCATTTTGCAGATTGTGTCGATCAACTGGCAAAATACCGGAAGTGGCTCATTCCACGGACGAGAATCCATGAAAAGCATTATTAGACGATTTTCTTAGGCTGCACAAAATATTAAAACCAATTAAAATTCATAATAAAGCATATTGCTATTTTTAATTCATAAAGCCTGCGATTCAATTAAATAAATATGCGCTGCAAGTTTAATATGCGCTTTATTTCTATGCGTATAGGTCACGTGCAGCTCAGAGCGGCTCTGTTCACAGAAAATGTTGCTCCACACAAACAGTTATCATTTACATGTGCAGACCATCTCAAACTCGATCTCTGCATATGCTGTGAGTCTGAGCAGAGGTGAACAGTAACAAAGTAGATTTACTTGAGTATTGTACTCTGATGCATGCATTATTAAATCACAAAGTAATATTTTTTTACATGTTTGTTTTTACTTTTAAACAAGTGAAAAATCATGCCAATTTATTTTTTTTTTAATATATTATATTTTGAGGGAGTTACAAATCTGTCCACTGTAGTGGACACCATGAATCAAACGTATAAATAGTAAATCAATATAACTTAATGGGTGGTCTTAAAAAACACGTCTTTAAAATATTTACTACATGAAAATGGTATGAATACACAT